AAAAAAAAAAAAAAAAAAAAGAAGAAAAAAGAGGAAGTTACTACCCAAGGTCACAATGTGACTTGTGTCTCCCAACCTTTTGCCCAACTTGTTATTTTTTTCTCTTTTTTATTGCTTTTTAATTGGTGACCCAATGGGAGAGGTCATCAATAAAGATTAGTCTCATACGTCATTAGTTATTACAATATATTATATCAATTTTCTAAACAAGTTATGCTAAAGGTGAAAATTTGTGTTATACATAATAATTAAATTTAATTGAAGTTAAAAATTTTTACTTTTTAATTACGTCACTATTATTTTATTTTTCTTATAAATTATAATAATATAGTATAAATATTTTTCTTCCTAATCTAATATTTATATGAAATTTCATATAATATTTCAAATCACAAAATTATTTTTTTGAAAACTGGTTCGGAGTAGTTATTAATAAAGGCAAAAGATAGTTTTGAACTCTATGAATAGATAATTTTTAGTATATGGCTTGTCACCAAATTATGTGGATGGATTTGTTAGGCAAGTGAGCGCATAGAGCAAGTACAACCCAGTGCGATGAATCACAAATGGGTAGAGTTCTGTCGCCTAATTACGTCAGCAGACGACCAAGAAGATTCTTTTAGAATTGACATTCTGGCAAAAGCCGTTGATGGTCATGATAAGAGATGCAGGCGTGGGGATTCCATAGGTATTACTGACTTTTTTATTCAACCGTAAATCTCGCCGAGTCGAATGTATGGCAGTTAGGACAATAGTTCTTTAAGAATAGAGAATGAAAGAAGTATACTAGTAAAAGCGGAAACTTTAAGTATAAGTGGGAGATTGTTGGTGTATATACTGAAATCTTGGCTTTAGATGAATTTACATTGAACCCGTTTGAATGAGAATCATGTTTAATTAAACAAGTCTATGTTCTATTGTTTTGCACTTAGATAGAATGGGTCGTCATCGGCCGAACAGAACACCATTCTATCAGTTACTTGCAAGAGAAGAATTGTGGTTCACAACCTAGATGAAAATGAACATCCCATCCGAACGGTTGTAGTGATAACCGTACAATTGGTCTTGACTGATTAGTTACTGATGTAGGGAAGCGTACGAGTGAGACGATATTAATGAGATCTCAATCTCAAGAACATCAAAACACGATATAATTCATATTTTATTCATAAACAACCAAAGAAAATAAACTAGAGGGAGTCCTTTATAAAAGGCTCCTAACCCTAAATATTAACTTGTCCACCAAGCCATTAAATAATAATAATAATAATAATAATAATAATAA